CCGTCGAGCGCTTCCCACGCCGAGGGGCCCTGCGCGCCCGCGGTCCTGTTGAAGATGCTCTGGTTTTTGAACTTCAGGTCTTGAAATGGAATCGAGTGAACCGGAGACCCCGAAAACGGAAACGCAGGGCGACCGAAGAAGTGTTTGAAAAGGTAGGGGTCCCCGAAGAGAGGGCGCGGGGTGTGGTTCTTGGTAAATTTCCCCGTGTGCCCTGAGGACCGGGCACAACAATAGAGGAGCGTTTTGTAAGTTTACGTTAGATTTGCAGTGGCCTGAATTGCCGCGACGGTTCCGTAAAGGTCTTGGCCGGTAATCCTCGTGCTTAGCAACGTGCTGCGCCCTCGCGAAGTAAGAGTGGCGGGATGGAGACTGGGTGCAGGATCCCTGACAGCCCCGCGTGAGTGGGTCCCTCCCCGTACGGGCCGGTGGTACTCCTGTGGCAGTGCTCAGCACCCCTGAAGAAGGGGGAATGCCACCCACGGGACTGGGTTTCTCAGTTTGGTTGTGACGGACGCAGTAGCACGCTCCCTCCTTTAGGCTTTGGAGTCATCTCAAAAAATGGAGAGAGAAGCTGAAAAAAGTGGATTACTTTTGTAAAGCAAACAAGACGTTTTTCTGAATTTAGAATTTCAGTGTTACTTTGCAGAAGTTTGGACTGCCCATTTTCCCCAGAAATTGTGTTAAGTTAAAGCTTGACGCGTTATTGTAATAAATATTGTGGAATAAGGTAAGTAGCCTGTTGTTTTCTAAGTGACTTTTATTGAAAACTCAAAAATGAATAATGTTACAGCAGATAGGGTTTTTGTGGCTTTTAAAAATTATTCTATGTACTGTTTTTTGATTCTTGATAGCACCAAGGGATTAAAATAGCGGTGTGTTGTTTTCCTGCTGCTAGAATGTATGATGAATCACTCCTCATTCTGAAGCCAAATTCTTGCTGATAGCATTGCTGCCAACTTCTGTGATGTGTTGCCTTAGTATGGGCATTGCAGCGTCCGAGAATGTGCACAAAGCACATCAGAATGAAGGTGTGATACTGAAGCTCCAGAGTGCATTTAAGGACAAAGGGCGGCTTCTCAAAGAATTGGGAGAGGACCCGGCCTAGGAGTATAGTCATCTGTAGCTAGACGTTCAGTGTGTGAAAAGGGACACCCCAGCCTTTCCCTTTCTAAATGAAAAAGAGTCATACGTGTCACTCCATTTAAACGGTAATAGCAAAAGTTGTTATTTTGAACAGACTTGAGGTTTCTGACCATAGCTCAGCATGTTGCGGTTGGTTGTGTTTGTTTAACTTTCACGGTCTAGGTGTTTTTGAGAATGTTCGTGAGTTGATGAAGTAGATCATAAAATGTCCAAAGGAGGAAAAAGAATTGCAGTTTGTTTAGTATTTAAAAAGGTATTTTCTAGCTATTATTTTTTAAACCAAAAATAAGATTACCCAAGCACACAAGTATCATACATAAAAGGAAGGGGAAGCCATTACCTTTGTGGATTGCTAGGTGCCATCCCTACCACAATCTGAGCTTGAGGTAACCATATCTGTGACACCCATAACCTGACGGCTGCCTTCTGAGAACGAGAAGCGGGTGGGGGGAGACTGAGGAATTTTCCTCCCAAGAAAAGGAGTTCTTCCCTGAGCCTTCCCCTTGAGAGAGGGTATTGTGTTAGCTCTTATGGGGAGAATTACACGTTTGCCTTTTCTCCTCAGAAAACGTGGGTAGGAGTCTTACAAAGGATATAAAAATGAAGTAGGTTGGGATCAACATGCTGAACTCCTTTCAAGGAATGAAGCTTAAAGCTGACTAGCTTTGAAGGTGGAGGTGGCGAGAAGATGGGTACTTTCAAAGTTGTGTCAGAAAATAATTATGGGTGTCTCCAGTCTCTCTTCCCGACTCTGTGCAGCAGCTGAGCCCCTTGCCCACTGTTTGCCTCTGCCATGCCTAGGAGAGGGTTTGGAACTTGCTGAGGCAAAGCGTGCAACATTTTCAAGGTCAAGGTGAAAGGGAGGGAGTGCAATCAGCAACCAGGAGCCTTAGACCAAGTTCCGAAAGACGCAGAAACTGTCCTGCCGAGGTGCGGCCCGATTGCCCCAGAGTCTATTCCAAAATACAGGTGGAATTCTGTGTGCAAAGAGCAGTCAAACCGAGGTCATGTGTTAACCTTTTGCTAGGATTTGAACCTGTTATTAGTAGGAATCTAGGTAGTTAACTTACTGTTGAGTTTAGTAAGTTTTTTTAAGTGTCTGCCATGCCACAGGTGAAGTAGATGAGCCCGTTTCTTTTTCCTGCACCTGCTGTATTTTTCTACTGCATGAAAGCTGATCTTTTCTGCGGTACTCATTTTATATTACTGTAAGATAAGAGCCTGGCTCGGAGTCCTTTCTGGTAGGTGTGCATTTTAAATCTAGCAGTTCTCTTTGTTTGCCTGCTTTGTTTCTTTGCCCTGTGACTCCCTCACGCTGCCCTTTCTTCCATCCCCTGGCCTCTGTTCCCATCCTCAGGTCTCGCACAGGACTCAGCCTCGCTGAGTGAACTTGGTTAACTAGTCTGTGTTGAGCTCTGCTAGGGCCATAACGTTTTCCCTCTGACATTTGCCGACTTGTGGCGAGCAGTCTTCTGACCTGCTGGAGGAAGGAACACCTCAGTGGTGCAAGGCCAGGGTCCGGGCCTGGCACGGGGCGACAGATTACACGTGAAGAATGCAGGCGATCTACGGAGACACTGCTGTCCTCCTAAAGGAGGCCGCTGAGTGGAGCACAGCCCGATGCAGCTTGAAATGCTGTACTGGTTGAGCTTCTCAGTGAACTCAGAAGGGGAAGCAAAACAAAGTTGCCCTGTGCTCGGCTGCGGGTTAAAATAATGAATAATGAAATAAAGTAAACTGGGCGAGTGAGAGGGCCACCCAGAGAAGGAATTGAAAATGCTGTGGCCTTTTCCTGGTCTGTTGTGCTGTTGTGTCATCCCTACCCTCCCCAGCACCCGTAGCTCTCCGGTCTCTACGGGTGGCACAGATTTTCATGTCTTATTTTTCTGAAGATACAGCATTCCTTTATGCATCTTCTGTCGTCTTTGACATTTATTTCCACTTTATTTCATCATATTTTAGTGTTTTTCCACTGGCGTAACTGATTCCTTTATACTGTTTTTTGTTTCCTTCATTTTAAATGACACACCTCACTTGTTTTACTTCTGGTCCTTGGGTACTTTCTCCTTACATTCTGATATTCTTCCTTTTTCATTATTTTGAGTTCCTTTTCTTTAGTTTGAACAATTTGTGTAACAGAAAGGCAAGCAGGGGAGCATGAACAACTGCACAAAGAACAGGGTGAGTGGCTTAGCCTGTTCTGCAAGGGCCGGCTGACACTGGGGATTGCAGCAGCGAGTGGTATGATGTGTGCTTTGAAAAATAATGTTAACAGGTTTTACTAAATGGCTATTAGTTTTGGAAGAAAAACCCACACTTTTTTTTTCTATTTGTATCTTGGACTGATTCAAAGATAATACAAATTATCCGTCACATTCAAAGGTTAAGGAATAATATTATGTGTTTTTAACAAATATATCCATGTAAAATAACAAAGTTTTAAGTAATTCTTTGATCAGTAGTCTAAGGATTAGGGATAACTAGAATAATATTTTAGAAATTGTATATTTGAGGAAAATATATGAATTGCATATATTTCCTTTAGAGGAAGAAAATTCCAATTTTCAGATTCAGAAGAAGCACCCTTCCTACTTTACATATCTCTGACAATATATGGGGAACAAATTTTAAAATACTCATTTGCGGTTATCAGTAAGAATATATGATGATGGCAGAAATATTCATCGATACACTGTTAAAACATTGAAATTGAACAGTATTAAGGTTGTCTATTGTTATTAACAAGCGTCCTTTATGTGTGTGTGTGTTGGAACTGAGTGGTCCTGGCGAAGGTGAGGTTGTCTGGCCTCGGTTACAATTGGTCATAAAGAACTCTAGGTGCAAGTGGTTTCCAGTGAAAACACCCTTTAAGGTCACCTTAATTATTTTCTGCCAGAATCTGAAAAACAATGCTCTTGAGCAGAAAATTGCGTAAAATTCGGTGAAATTTTCCTTGATCTATGTAGTAAAACATAAACATCTAGAAAGTGGGTTGGGAAAAAGTGTTTTTTGGAGTATTTACTGACCACTTCAGTTGGAGCAAAATGACACATTCTGTTTTCTGAGTCTTAGAGAAAAAAATAAAAAAATGCTGGAACTATTTTCTTTGTGATAATATCCTTCCTAAATTCTGAAGCTTTGTCACTTGACTTTTATTCCATTTGTTCTTTTCACACACTTGATTCTGAACTGCAATAAGTGATAGTATGAATAGTAATTCACAGAAGATTTTTAAAACTGTATTCAAAACCCAGCTTGGTTTATGCATTTTACCACATTTACTGCTTTTTTAAAAATTATATACATTCTAAGAGAATGTTTTTATTACAATTCTAATATTGAAATACTTAATATGATAAAGGTAGGTGCAAATTTTAAACTGTTTAACAAAGTGCTTTACTGCTGTTTGCCTTTTGTGGCAAAGGTGTGTTTTATATTTGGTTTATGATTTCTGGAGAACAATATTTAAGACTAATAAAAATTATCTGGCTTTTTCTTGACCCCATAATAGCAGACAGCAACTGTGTTAGGCTTGACTCCTGAGCCATCAGGCAGGAAAGCTTGACAAAGTGGCACAGGGTGAATTCAGGGAGTGCTGAACCTCTCCCTTGGCTTAAAGGAAATGCCCTGCGGTTAGCAGAGTGGCGGGCATGGGCAGCCACTCTTTTCCAACGCAGGCAGCCTTTCCCAGGCACTGGTGCCCTTGCCTCTTCTGGAAAGTGCTCTTGCCTGTGAGAATTCATAACTAGTCTACATTTATATAGCCGTAATCTCTTACAAAAGCTTCATTGATACTTGATCTCCATAGAAAAGCTTTATGGATTCTACTGAGTCACAGCTCTGGAGGCACCAGCCGCCCTCCGTATCTGAGAGTGGCTTTGTGTCCTGGGTTGTACTGATTGTGCCTTCCGATGACAACTTACTTGAGTGATGGGGAGAGGCAGAGTAATTTATTAAAAGTAATTGCAAAGAAACCAAACAAAAGGAGTAATTATAGTGCTGTTAATAT